CGACGGCCAGGCCGACGCGGAGGTGCAGAGCGAGCGCGCCCGCCGCGGCCAGCCGGAGCGCTGCCGCCAGCGCCGGGACGGGGGCGCGGCCGCCGCGGGGTCCAGGCCGGAGCAGGAGCCGCGCGCCGCGGCCACGGAGCCAGGTGGAGCTTTCCCTCCTCCCTTTGGGGGTCTGGAGCGAGGCCGAGCGCGCCCGGCCTGGCCTGGTTGGGGGGTGGAGGGTCCCAGGCCGTGCTCGAGCGGCTGTGTAGAGTTCGCGTGGGGTTGGAACTGGGCTCTGTCCAGGCACATCTGTTTCTGAATTTTGAACTTCAGAATGAAGTACGGGCACGATGGATTTGGAGGGGCAGTGAGGGGATCTCGCGCCTTACGGAAGTTAGAAGTTTGGAGGGAAACAGCATTCTTGGAACAAGTTAGGGCCAGGTTGGAATGGTGTGTGGGAGAAGGGTTCCTAACTTTGCAGGAGCCCTGGAGGATCAGAGAAGTGCTTGGTTTCGTGTTGGGTGAAGAGCTTGGGGTCGAACTGCGTGTAGAGAAGTGGCTCCTGGGCCTAAATGGATTAGTGAGAGGTATGGAGTATCCGGAGTTAAGGGGGCGGGTTGAATTTGAGGATGTGAAGAGAGCTTTTCAGACTAGAGTGTGGAGTGGGTTGAGAGAATGAACTCACAAGCGCAATTTTCACAAAATCTTGACAGAGCCTCGCACATCGGGGTTATTTATATTTATAATTAATAACTCCAAAAATGAATAGGCTGTCCAGTAGTGCTCGACAAAAACAAAAAAACCAAAAACAAAACAACAACAAAACTGGGTGGGGGTTAAGTTTCGTAAATGGAGATTGGTTGGCAGGGGCTGCTTCTGTCTCCATGGCTGTGTAGGTTTCCTGCTATCGTCCTGGTAGTTAAAAGTTGCGGGACTGTTGCTTTCAACTTCTTTGCCTTTCGATACCTCCCACAGCCTGCCCCTCTGGTGCTGAGCTTGACGTTGAAAGTGCCCTGTAAAAACACAAAACAGAACTGTGTGTAACTTAGGACTCCGACACATCCAGTCAACACAACATCTATGTTCTTTGATAAAAAAATGCTTACCTAGGAGGAGATTTCCAAGAAACATAATTAGGAAAGGCCAGATATTTGCACCTTTTGTGTTGGGAATTCTGCCATTTTTTTTTTTTTTTCCAGTAGGGAAAAGGAAGCGTTGCTTGTGTATGAAAGTGCAGTCTCTAGAAACTACAGTTTCCGGAATGCAGTTCTGTTTTGATTAAAGCAGACACCTGCCACTGTCCTAGGATACCTTCCTTTTATTTCTTTGTCTTACTTGGCTATATTCCTTATTTTTCCTTTTAAGTTTCACAACATCCTTATGAGAGAGGTACTTTTATTTCCATTTTAGAGATGAAATTGAGGCCCAGAGAGGTTAAGTAAGTTGCCGAAGGGTGAACCCAATTCTATCTGATCCTTGTTCAGAGTAGGTGAGAAGGCCTCCCCAAACGTCATCTAATTTGTGGGTGCTGAGTGATGATCTCATATGCTCTTTAGTTTGCTTCAAGTTCTGAGATTATGGTAAAAATATTTCTGGTCTTCCTACTAGTACTATTGATTATATGGTCAAATAAGATAGAGATGTCTGTTCTCATTTATAAAGTCTGGACTCCTCTGTGAAATATCAGTTCTGGACTTTGATTCTTGAGAAGGAGTATGGCTTGATAATTTGTGCAAACTTTTTCTGATGAAAAAATTTGTCATAAAGTGTATCAGTGATTAAGGAAAATTATATAAAATGAGATTCCAAATTAGGATCTATTGAATTACTGAGTATCCACCAATTACTTATATGTTTATATGAGGACTGTGATGAAAAATATTTTTCCTTAAATATTCTTGTCGGATCATTGAGTGTATATAATTACAGGCTTATTAAGTCAAATCATTATAGGAGAATATTGCTGAACAGGGTTTGCGAATTATCTTCTAGCTTCAGTGGGTTGTCTGGACTTGTTAGAGTTATATACAATTTTTTAATTTAGAATTTTAATATGCCGTGCATTCACATAATCCAAACACAAATGTAAGAAAGTGTACAATGGAAAGGTTCCTCCTATCCCTTTACTCATTTCCCACTGCCACCAAAGATTCTCATTTATTCTTCCACAGTTTCTTTATGCTTCTACATAAAAATTCAAATATATTTATTTTAGTTTTTGATCTTTTTACACAAAAGATTGTATATTGTATACATTGTTCTGTAACTTGCTTTTTTCCATATAAAGATACATGATGGAAAGCTTTTCATATCAGTATATAGAAGGTTTCTTTATTCTGCTTACAGCTGCAAGGAATTTCATTGAATGGCTATAACAATTAACTGTCTATTGGTAGACATTTAGGTTGTTTCCAATCTTTTGCTATTATAAAAAGTCAGTTATAAAATTGTTATATACATGTGTATGTGCATTCATATGGAGAGGTCACCTGTAGCTTTCACCAGATTCTCAAAGGGATGCAGAAAGAAAGCTAGGAACCATTGTTTTAACCCAGGTCTCTCATTCTACAGAAGAGAGAACTGAGGCCCAGAAGAGAGTAGAAAGTGACCAGCTAATGGTCATCATGAGTTAGTAGCAGATAAACAAGGACCAAAACAATAACCCATAAATAAGGGCTAAAACATAGCTTAATTCACAGTTAAATGCTCATGATGACTTGTAATAGGGAAAACTAAAAATACCAGTTTTATAAAAACTTACATTGTGTTTTTGAGTGGGAAACAGCAACAGAACTAGCAATTTTTTAGGTATATTCAGAAGTATATTGCTTAGCGGTTTTTTTGGGGCATAGTTAGGTTAATTGATAAAAAGAAAGGTCAGAATTCCTTTTTAATACTGGAAATTAAATTTTGTAGTAAATGCACTGGTGCTTAAGTGAAATTCTTATATACATATATTTTAATTTTGTGAAGCCCCATGGCTCTTTTGGAATTGAATTGTCTATAATAAGTATAAGAGTTTGTGCTTGTCAAAAATTTTGGTTGTGTTGGTGACATTTTTGGTTTTTACCAGTTTCCTGACAAGCTTTAAAATTCAGAACCTTAAGGACTCCTGTATAACATGTTTTGTTTTATTCTTCTATGCCTTGTCAGTTTGCTTTTGGATATAGCAAACTGTTGCACAGTTGACTTGTGCAACATTGTGTGAAGTCTACTTCAACTTTATGTTCCTTGAGGTTATAGCTCATCGCACATATTGACATAGTATTTGAACCATTTTGAGCAATATTCACAAGTATGTAATGAATGTTTGTGCTGGGCCAGGCACTGTTCTAGGTTCTTGGGAGACCTTAGTGAATGAAATGTTCAAAGATTTCTTCTTCTTGGAGCTTATATACTAAATTTAGAGGCAGTCTTGGTCCATTGATTAAAAATAAAAACTGTAGCACATGGGCATATATAGGTGCTTTTGCAACTGCATTTGACCCTTGAACAACAGGGGTTTGAACTGTGTGGGTTCCACTTATACATGGATTTTTTCAATGAATACATTATAGTGCTGTAAATGTATTTTCTCTTTCTTATGATTTTCCTAACATTTTCTTTTTTCTAGCTTAGTTTATTGTAAGAATAGAGTATATAATGCATATAACATACAAAATATGTGTTAATCAACAGTTTATATTATTAGTAAAGCATCCGGTCAACAAAGGGCTACAAGTCAAGTTTTTGGAAAGTCAGTAGTTACCGTAGATTTTCAACAGTGCTGAGGGTCGGTGCTCCTAACCCCTGTGTTGTTCAATGGTCATCTGTAAATTTTTTTTTTTTTTCAACGTTTATTCAGTTTTGGGACAGAGAGAGACAGAGCATGAACGGGGGAGGGGCAGAGAGAGAGGGAGACACAGAGTCGGAAACAGGCTCCAGGCTCTGAGCCATCAGCCCAGAGCCCGACGCGGGGCTCGAACTCCCGGACCGCGAGATCGTGACCTGGCTGAAGTTGGACGCTTAACCGACTGCGCCACCCAGGCGCCCCTCAATGGTCATCTGTATATACAACAGCAATACTTAAGTGTCATTGATAATAATTAATGAATCTTAAGAATTAACTTAGTCTTTTGATATGAAATCAAGAGTGACCATTCTAAATCATACTGCTTCTGAAATTGAAACCAAGACCTTTTTAGGATAATTCTTTTTCTTCTACCCTGGGTAATAATTGAAGAGAAAAGCTACACAAAGGCCAATGAGTCCTTTTTATTTTTTTTATTTTTTTATTTTTTGGAGAGAGAGAACATGAGTCGGGGAGAGGGGCAGATGGACAGAGAGAGAGAATTCTGACACAGGTCTTGATCCCACAACCCTGCGATCATGACCTAAGCCAAAATCAAGAGTTAGACTCTCAACTGACTAAGCCACCCAGGAGCCCCACCAATGAATCTTTTAAATTGGCAGTTAAAACTTAAAAAAAAATTTTTAGTGTTAAAAGCGCGTTTCAAAAATTCAATAGTACCTCATTTATCCCATCCCTTTCATCACCCCTCAACCTCCCTGTTCACTTAGGGTTAACATTATACATTTAAAAAAAATCCTCTTTCTGTGACAAACAAGTAGTTCTGGTTTATTACTCAGTTGGCAGACAATGTTTGCTATGTGTGCAGCCTAAATTGCATTTAGGACTAATGAATAATGAAATCATGTGATTGTAGTGTAAAAGGATAAGAATTTCCCTCAACTGTAGGGATTTGTTGTAAAATGTATAAAATGACTCAACTTTTTATCCTTAATGACACGTACACATATTCCAGAATTTGAGAGTGTCCTTATGTGTTCTAATGCAGGAAACAATTCAGAATGAGATTACCTCGCCAACTAAACACTAATTACCATTAAAGGAATATCTGTATCCTATAGAATTCAGGGTTGAGCCTCAAGAATTTAGGAGGTATTTGGTTTTCTTCTTATCCACTTCCAAACTTCCAGTTAATCCGGACAATTGCCTACCCTTGAATTCATTTATATCTGAGGGGTTTTTTTGCTTTTTGTTTTTGTTTTTTTTTTTTTTTTTTTTTTTTTGAGTGTAGGATACGGGATATGTTTGTCAAATGTCATCCCACTAATTCAATGAGCATTTTGGGGGCACATGCTCTGTAAGATAATACAG